AAAGTATTTCCCCGATTGGCATTGCATTGGCATTGGGTTGGGATCGCCTTGGCATTGCGCTGGCATTGCGTCGGCACTGCTTTGGCATTGCTCTGGCATTGCGCTGGCGAGTCCTAATGACTCCCTCCGCAGAAGGATTTCCACTGAAACCCTAACCAAACGGACTCCTATTGAATGGAAGTGCGCTGGCATCGCGCTGGCGAGTCCGTCTCCACTTTGCAGAAGGATTCCTATTGACCCCCCCCCGCAAAAAAAATCATGTTGACATCTACCACAAAGGGTTGCCCCCAACGACACTGCATTGGCATCGGATCCGGGATCGCATTGGCATTGCGCTGGCATTGCGTTGGCACTGTTTTGGCATTGCGCTGGTATTGGGCTGGCAAGTTGCAATACCTCCCGTCGCAGAAGGGTTCCTAGTGCAACCTTCAGGAGGATTCTTATTGACATCAACCGCAAAGGATTGCCCCCATTGGCATAGCATTGGCATTGGATTGGGGTCGCCTTGGCATTGGTTTGGCATTGCGTTGGCGCTGCATCAGCATTGCGCTGGCGAGTCCTAATGCCTTCCTTCGCAGAAGGATTCCTATTGATACCCCCCCGCAACAACATATTCCTTTGAAATCTACCACAAAGGATTGCCCCCAACGGCATTGCATTGGCATCGGGTTTGAGATCGCATTGGCATTGCGCTGGCATTGCGTTGGCACTGCATTGGCATTGCGCTGGCATGACGCTGGCGAGTTCCAATGCCTCCCTTCGCAGAAGGATTCTTTTAGCAACCCCCAGAAGGATTCTGATTGAAATCAATCGCAAAGGATTGCCCCTATTGGCATGGCATTGGCATTGCATTGGGGTCGCCTTGGCATTGTTTTGGCTCTGCGATGGCACTGCGTTGCCATTGCGCTGGCGAGTCCGAACCCTTCCTCTCGCAGAAGGATTCCTATTGAAACCCTCCGCACAAGAAGGGCTCCTTTTGAAATCTACCACAAAGGATTGCCCCCAACGGCATTGCATTGGCATCGGGTTTGAGATCGCATTGGCATTGTGTTGGCTTTGCGTTGGCACTGTTTTGGCATTGCGCTGGCATTGCGCAGGCGAGTTCCAATTCCTCCCGTCGCAGAAGGATTCCTATTGCAACCCCCAGGAGGATTCCTTTGGACATCTACCACACATGATTACCCGCATTGGCGTAGCATTGGCATTGCATTGGGGTCGCCTTGGCATTGGTTTGGCATTGCGTTGGCGCTGCATCAGCATTGCGCTGGCGAGTCCTAATGCCTTCCTTCGCAGAAGGATTCCTATTGATACCCCCCCGCAACAACATATTCCTTTGAAATCTACCACAAAGGATTGCCCCCAACGGCATTGCATTGGCATCGGGTTTGAGATCGCATTGGCATTGCGCTGGCATTGCGTTGGCACTGCATTGGCATTGCGCTGGCATGACGCTGGCGAGTTCCAATGCCTCCCTTCGCAGAAGGATTCTTTTAGCAACCCCCAGAAGGATTCTGATTGAAATCAATCGCAAAGGATTGCCCCTATTGGCATGGCATTGGCATTGCATTGGGGTCGCCTTGGCATTGTTTTGGCTCTGCGATGGCACTGCGTTGCCATTGCGCTGGCGAGTCCGAACCCTTCCTCTCGCAGAAGGATTCCTATTGAAACCCTCCGCACAAGAAGGGCTCCTTTTGAAATCTACCACAAAGGATTGCCCCCGAACGGCATTGCATTGGCATCGGGTTTGAGATCGCATTGGCATTGTGTTGGCTTTGCGTTGGCACTGTTTTGGCATTGCGCTGGCATTGCGCAGGCGAGTTCCAATTCCTCCCGTCGCAGAAGGATTCCTATTGCAACCCCCAGGAGGATTCCTTTGGACATCTACCACACATGATTACCCGCATTGGCGTAGCATTGGCATTGCATTGGGGTCGCCTTGGCATTGGTTTGGCATTGCGTTGGCATTGATTTAGCATTGCTCTGGCGAGTCCTAACGTCTCCCTTTGCAGAAGGATTCCTATTGAAGCCTTCCGCAAGCAAATATTCTTGTTGACATCTACCACCAAGGATGGCCCCCAACGACATTGCAACATTGCATTGCCATTGGTTTTTAGATCGCATTGGCATTCCGCTGACATTGCGCTGGCATTGCGTTGGCACTGCTTTGGCATTGCGCTGGACTTGCGCAGGCGAGATACAATGCCTCCCGTCGCAGAAGGATTCCTATTGCAACCCCCAGGAGGATTCTTATTGACATCTACCACAAAGGATAGCCCCCCAGCCCGCATCCGCCGACGGCATCACGAGCCTAAGACGAATGTGCAATATCCAGCATTCCTTCCACGATTGGACCATCTGATCTTCCTCCCCATCCTCCTCCTCCTCCTCTTCCTCCTCCTCCTATCCTCCTTCTCCTCCTTCCTTCTGCACACGGGGCCTCAAGTGGAGGGGAGAGGATCGAGGATAGAGAATGAGAGAGAGAGAGAGAGAGAAAGAGAGA